ATTATTTCATAAAATCTGTTTCTGTAAAGAAAGCCAAAAAGGGCTGGCTCCTTGGGGGAGAAGGTTATTAGTATTTGCAGGGTAGTGTTCAGTACTCCAACGTTTGTAAGGCTTCCTGCCTGATTTGTGGTGTTGGTGGGACCCCAGATTATCTTTTGTCTTTGTCACCTACATGCACAATCTGAACAATACAAAAAACCTCACTGCCTTGGAAGGGTTAACTGCTCATCTGTTTCACCCAGTTTAGTTAATTCAGCAGCTAAAAAGCTACTGCTTGGAGTGATAACTCTAAATATAAAAACTCAAAACAGCACGTAAGGGGAACACTGATTCGTCCAAATTTTTCTCTCTCTTTTAAAAAGAAACCTATAGGGGCGCCTGGGTGGCGCAGTCGGTTAAGCGTCCGACTTCAGCCAGGTCACGATCTCGCGGTCCGTGAGTTCGACCCCGCATCGGGCTCTGGGCTGGTGGCTCGGAGCCTGGAGCCTGTTTCCGATTCTGTGTCTCCCTCTCTCTCTGCCCCTCCCCCGTTCATGCTCTGTCTCTCTCTGTCCCAAAAATAAATAAAAACGTTGAAAAAAAATAAACAAATAAAAAAAAAATAAAAAGAAACCTATAAGTATCATTTGGGGTCATTGTTAAAAATCTTATCTTGGTTGTTAGCCTTTTTTAGAGGCCAAATTATGATGGTCCCTAAATTCCTCCCGGGAAGACAACTGTCGATCACATATTCAAATGTTGTGAACCAATCACACAACCCTCCTGTGTTCTAGTTCTCCAGAAAAAGAGGACCCACGGGATGTGGGTACATAGAGAGGGATTTATTTTAAGGAACTGGCTCATGCAGTTGTGGGGGCGGCTAGTCCAAAATCTGCAGGGTGGGCCGGCAGTCTGGAGACCCGGGGAAGAGCTCGGGCTGTGGCTCAAGTCCAAAGGCAGTCTGGAGGCAGAATTCTCTCTCCTTCAGGGGAAGCACGATCTTTCTTTTAAAGCTTTCAACCTATTGGATGAGGTCCACCCACATTATGGAAGGTGATCTGCTTTACTCAAAGTCAACTGATATACAAGTTAATCTCATCTAAAAACCACTTTCACAGCAACATCTAGACTGGTGTTTGACCAAATATCTGGGCACCATGGCTTAGCCGAGTTCACCTAGAATTAACCGTCACACTTGCCCTGCTCCTTGGGGTGGAACTTGGGCCCTCGTCTGAGGTCTTACATTTGGCAGCCTCTGGGGAGCTGCCTCTGACGGAGGCAAGTCCAGGTCCCCACACCCCCACAGGGTGGCTTGGCCATTTTACGGCTGGGGAAACCAAGTCCTAGCAAAAGGTTCCACGAATTGGTCCCAGGATCGTAAGAGGCCTGGGGGTACAGTCAGGACAAAATCTTGCCTCATGGGATGGTGGCTCCCAGCTCTTTCCACCACAATCGTTGGCTCCAGCAGGGCCTGAGCTCGCCGGGGACATTCTCATTTCACTTCTGACTTGGAATATTACAGCCAAGCCTGAGCCCATTCAAACCAGAAACTCTGGGGGAAGAAAATCAACTGACTTCCTGGATGTGCCTTCGCGTTCCCATCCCCCACTGTCCCACGGGGCAGAGCGGCGCGCCCAGCGGCCACACACAGAGCCATCCACAGAGGGACTTCTCTTTGAAAAGTGCTTTATTTCAACAAGATCTACGTTGGTGCATGGAAACATATCAAAATGTTACAGAAACGCGTCGCCCCTACTGAGGCCTTGTCAAATTACGACATGATCCCTAGATGCATCCGTTTGTAAGTTCAGAACCCAACAGTGAACCTGGTCATGTACCATTGCAGAGGGCAAATTATGATTAAGAAAAGGATACGTCACAAAGCTAAAACAAGTGGGGAAACCCTCAAGGACACTAACAGTAGTAACACACCAGAAACCATCGGCCGGGGAAGCAGGTTTGCGATCGGCTGGGAAGACTCCAGGGGTAAACTGAGGCTCTCCCTTCACCGCTTGTCCACATCTTGTGCTTGGGTAAAATGCAGGGGGCACTGTAACCTCCCGCGATGGGGTCACCGCTTTCAGTCCCGTCTGAAAGGCAGGTTGCTACATTCATTTTTCTCTCTCCCCCTCTCGGAGACCACTGTTCATCTCCTGACTCAGGCAGGAATTTGTGTACAACTTAAGCAGCAACTCAAAAACGTGGGTTGCGGCATGGGGACGCAGGAGACTTGCTCTGCTTGCTGTCTCGGCCCCCACATCACGGTTTGGCCACGAGGCCCTGAAATTCCCTTGTTCGTACAGAAATTTCTCTCTTGGCGATGTATCCAGGGCACCATATTTCTCCATGTTAATAAGGAGCTTTGCATTTTTTATTTTTTTTTTAACAGAGCCTCTCTTAAGAGTTTCTTGCGCTTCTGGGATCCGTTGCTCCTCTTCCTTCTGACATTCTGAAATAACCACCCAACTCTGCAGAAAAGAATTCGTGCCAAGAAGTTTTGCATCTGAGAACAGATCTGTGTGTGTGTCATTGTATTTCAAAGTCTAAGCTACAGTGATGATAAAATGTCTTCATCTGGGGATCTCCAGGAGAGAGGATTATTGTTTTCTTTCCGTAGGGAGGAGGGAAGGGTGCAAATATTTCTCCTTGAAGTCTCAGACCAAAACCCCAGTCCCCGCATTTTTCTCGAAGGTGGGTGGCTAATCTGAGCTCCTCCCTCCTCAACCTCGCTTAGAATCCAAGTCCATCGGCCTGGTGCACACTCCTCACCAGCACGTACAGGCAAGCCAAGCCTGCTATCTGTGCTTCTCAGTCTCTCCCCAAGGTATCCCCCCACCCCCATGTAACTCATCACCTGTCCACTCATGTGATCACCGAGAACGTGACCTTGTGCTTAATCTCACCATCACCTAGGGGAGCGGACCCCCTCCCCAGCCAGATGGACTCGGGCTTTTCCTTCATTTGATCACCTTGTAACATAAACCCCTAGAAAAAGAAAGCCAGATGTGGCTCTACTGCTTTTCACAAGTTAGGGGGAGAAACCTATAAACTGGCCTTTTGTTCCTCACACGATTTCAGGTTCATTGCACACAATTACATAACCCCCTACAAATCGGTACAGGAATTCAAAGCTGCCAGGCCATGTGATACCAGTGAGAAAATCCGGCTCCACACTGTGGTGAAGTGTCTCTGTTTCAGCCGCTGCTATTTCAAAGGCCCTTTCCAAAATTCCTGATCGGGTTGTTAGGAAGTAAGAAATGATCTCCAAACAGGGTGGGCCAAAATGCCACAAGGTACGGCCCACATTACGTGGAATGTATCCTGTAAGATGCGATTTCCCCTGGCTTCCACCCTGAATCCCTCCCGCCCCCCATCTTTAAAAAGCCAGGTCTACCTTAGCATCACTTTCTCGGCAAGGGATCCGGCAAACCTGACGTTTTGCAACATCGCCATATTTAAACTATCGTAATGCTAGTACAAATCAAAGAGAACTCTTATGAACCAGAAATAGCTGTCCAACAAAAGTTAGTGGTTAGTAGTTTGCTTTGTGGGGGTTTTTCTGCCTCGCGCACCAAGGAGAATTACTGGGGCCAACAAAGGCTGCGAACATTCAAAATAAAAAGAACTGGAAGAGAAGTTTAAGTCATTTTCTCAAAGGCAAGACTCAGGAAGTGTGTTTGCATTCACAAACCTGCTCTCGCCCATCTGTATGTAACAAAGGAAGCCTCTCCCGCCCCCGGGGTTTTCTGTGCATTTAGCAGAGGCCCACGGAGATGTCTGATTGAGACTAAGGTCGCCGGATTTCCAGTCCACACCCCACAGGGCTGGTGGCGCTGTCCCCGAGGAGGAGGTCGCCTTGCTAAGAGACCCCCGGCAACACGCCAGGTGGCAGCGTGCCATCTTTTTGAAAATCAACAATGAGACCACAGCTGTGAGCCACCTACAGAGGCCACGGAGGCCACAAGGGACAGCAGGGGGCAGGAACCTCTCTGCTGCAAACCTCCACCTTCCTTGCAGGTGCTGACCACTGGCACTCCTTCCCCCAACCGCCCAGCTCCCCAAACCTTCCTTGGAGGGGAGGTGAAGAGATGGGGAATCTCTCCACCACCAAGGCTGAGACCCCTGATGTCAGGAGCTCCTGGCCTTGCTTGGTTGATCTCCCAGCCAGGCACCCTGCCCCCACGCATCTATCAGTCCCTCTTCAAACTGTGTCAGCCATACTGTTGCCCAGCTGCCCGGAAGTCTTCCTGATGGGGACCCCACGGGGACAGACTGTCCTGCCCTTTCCCTGCATTGGGGTCTGCTCTAAAGCTCACCCAGGTGGCTGCTCAGAGAGGCCGAAAGAGAAGCTCCACCCTCCCTGTGCAGCCCGACCTGGGCCCCACCCCGGTCAATAGCAGCCTCCTCACTCTTGGGAAAACCATCTCCACACACGAGGTGAGGGCCACTTGCAAGAATCCAGTGGTTGGAAAGACTGAAGCCTTGACTTCAAACACATGGCTTCAGTATCAAGTGCAGGAATCTCCCCTGGTGGTATGAAACGGGCCGGGCTCACAGGCCTGTCATTTCTGCAAGGAGCCTCTACACTTCCCTAAAGAGGGAAACTCTCTGGCCACCCCAGAACGAGGCCAGGCCCCGGCCACACTAGCCAGCCTGCCACGTACAAACCGGTGAGACCTTTCCCTCAACTCACGGAGGCACCAAAGAGTTGGGGCCGGCAGCCTGGCATGCTTAGCGCATCAGGCTCCTCTCCTGTCTCCTAGACGTGGCCGTGGAGGCGAGGACAGAGGCAGAATCCGCGCAGATCATCACATATGTCTTTGTTATTTAAAACAATCCAAGTTTCCAGTGTAAAAACGTGTGGGCCTACTGCAGCTACCCCAAGGACGGTTTATCTTTTTCCATCGCATCCCCCAGGAGCATGGGGCTGTTATTTTGTTAATTTCCAATCCCCAATCCTGTTACGTGTACAGGGAGAATCTCTACTAACATATAAATATCCCAAATGGTGCGCTGGCTGAGTCCCCTCCCTTCTAAACATGTGTGGCTTGCTCCCTGGCACTGGAGGAGAGAAATCTTCCCTCCGACTTAAACCCCTCAGATTGGTGACTCGTCTGATTTTCCCCGTCTCGGCCAGCCTACCTGCAAGCCCCGTGGCACTTGTGCTGGTTGTTTGGAATTCAATGGCATGTGAATGTCAGGTAGGCACGTGGATACACACACTTACAGTGCACGCACGCATTCATGTGCGGACACACGCCCATGCACACATTTTGGGTCCTTATAACAAAATCAAAAGTCCTTGTGAGTGAAAGAAAGGAGCGGAGCACAGGGTTCCAGGGATGGGGAGTTGTCTGCTGGCTTCCCCATCCTGCTCCGGGCAGCAAATGGTGGCTTGGTGGGAGCTGGAGAGGTCTGCATCTAAAGGTTTCCACAGAAGGAAACCTTCCTGTGCGTCTTCTCATGTCAGCGGCGGCCCCTGTGGCATCTGGATCCCCTCCCTCTTGTGGCTCAGATTGTTGCTGGGGTCTCAGCCATCTCTTCCAGCCTCTGCCGGATCATTAGCCGGAGCACGGTGTACCTGGGGACAGGAACAGCTGCGGTGGACAGCGGAAGGCAACACACACCCCCTCTTGATCTTTCCCCACCACCCGGGCCACAGGGGCCACCTGTCGCTCCTTCTGCTTCTATCACAGGCCCAGCCATCCGCCACTTTGTGGCTTGTGTTCATTTCCACACCCAGAGGACAGGAAATGAACAGACCAAATCCAAAGTGGACAACTTGACTATATAGTTAGACACTCTGGCAAAAAGAAGGATGGGAAGGCGAAACCGAAACACCAACAGTAAGGGTTCCGCTAACCGAGTGCTGACTAGGCCCAAGGCTCCACGACACAGGAGCACGGGATCCTCACCTGAGCTGGACCATACGCAATTGCCATTATTTGACTACTTGGGCGGGGGGGGCTACAACGGCAGCGGCAACTTCGTATGGTTCAACCTAATATCAGTACCCGCATTTTGCGGAACAGGCTATAACAACTACCAAACGTGGGTGTCCATGACTTGTCTCCACCCTCTCCCTGAACTAATAAGGCAGCGCGGACGCTGGAGTGTGTACGGCTGTAGGACTAACGGGAACATTCCTTAAGTCCAGGGCTTGGCACCGCACAGCAAAAGCCATCTTAAAAGTTTGGCACATAGTAAGTGTTCAATAAATATTAACTGCCATCATACTAGCTATTATCATCGATACAGCAAATATTATCGGTGTTATTCGCCAGTGGCAGAAGTCAATCAACTGTCCCGCTGTATCCATGAAAAGCAGCCCGATTTATGGCTAACCATGGCAAAAAATATCATAAAACATAACCAAAAACATCAAAGTCACAATAAAAAAAAAAACCCACCCCCGAGAAATAGGGTGAAACAGGTGATGGGGATTAAGAGGTACAAACTTCCGGTTATGAAATAAAAAGTCACAAGGATGAAAAGCATAGGGAATACAGTCAATAATACTGTAATAATATATGGTGACAGATGGTGACCACACTTGTCACGCACGGTGAGCACTGAATAATGCATAGAATTGCTGAATCGCTACGCCATACGCCTGAAACAAATATAACATTGTATGTCAACTATACTTCAACCGGGATTTTTTTTTTAAATCCTCCCCAGAGAGAAGCTTTACTGGGCTTTTCAACCCAAATGCAATTTCCAGAAGAGAAATTGTTGAGAAGGGAGAAGGGTAGGAGGAAAGGATTTCATAGGTAGGGCTGTTCAGATTACTTTCCGCTGCTAAGATGGCTTTCTCTGGCACGCTTTTATGTCCCACATCAAAATGAGACGCTGGCCTAAGAAGCAAAGAGACCAACACACTTATGTTTTGTGTCCCCATCTGAGATCCACATTTGTCACGGGAAGCCCCCGGAAGAAGGTCCATGGGACCCAGGCCCACACAGCTGCTCAGCACAGTCCCTGCAAGGCATCTGAACACCTGGGCTCCCCACGGCCCTGGGAGAAGCCCAACCAGCCGCCCTGGGGCCATGCGTACTTGCGTATCAGCTTCTTGACTTCCCGGTCTTCTTCCTCTTGGAGCTTCTGAATGAAGCTTTTAAGGACAGGCATCTCGAACTTTATGTACTGGGCCACCTGGGGAGGAAGAAGTAAGTCTGGGGCGCACACACACCCCCTCCCAACCCTATTCCAATTCCTTTTGGTGTCTCTCTTACGTAAGGCCCAAAGCCGCGGGCACCTATTTCTACACGGATCCAAGATTTCCTTAAAGGCAGTAGCCAAGCCTCGTTCTTTTCAAGGCTGGCATCGAGATGGCTCCCTATACGTGATACAGATCTCCTAACTTCTCATTTCTCGTCCCCATGTATCCAGTCCACGACAAGGTGAAATCAAACATGGAAAAGCACTTTCTCCTGATGCAGCAATGCAGAGGAAAACCTGACCCGTGGTATTCAATAAAACTCCGTGTTCGCCCCTAAGAGGATTTATGGAACCGTGGCTCAGGACGATGGTTTGCATCTCGAGTCTCAAGCAGGCGTCCAAATGGGAGCTTACTCTGGAGAGGCTGTGGGGGTGAGGGTGGTTCCCGGGTGAGCCATCTGTCACCCCCCACAAGAATCCCCACCCTACTTTATCAACTCTTCTCCACGGGAAAAGTGGATTTCTCCACCCTATTCATGGCTACGTGACTTGTTTTGGTCAATGGAATGTGTGTGGACGTGATGTAAGACGCAACTGAGTGGAGGCTTCAAAGGAGCTTACGTGGTTTTGCCTGGTTACTTGCACTACAGGCACCTGCCATGTACCTCAGGGAGGCACTACCCCTTAGGCCTCGGTCTCTGAATGAGACATGAAGTGCACACCTGAACTCAACCCACAGCCCCCAGCAGAGCTGCTGCTATTCGCCTGCGGCCTCCTGAGAAAAAGGTAAATGCTGTTGTAAGCAGCTAAGATTTGGGGATGTTTGTTACCACAGCAAAAGCTGACTGATGCATAAGATGAGGTAAAATCACTGCTAACTTCTTGAAGCCGCTAAGAGAGGTTTGCAGAAACTTCTCGGGCCTCTTACAGTACCCCAGAAAGGCTGAAGACATTTACTCCTTCCATGGAAACCACTTGGTGCCTGAGCCTACCTCCAACAAATCCCCAGGGCATAGCCTCAGTCTAGCCTCTGCGTTCATTCTCCCTGCTAATGGCTTCAAGGAAACCCGGTATTGAGGAATGGCAGCAAAATGGGACATGGCCCTTGGCCAAAAAAGTCAAGCTATACCCCAGTTGCAGGTAACCCAACCAAATCCCCACCCACCTGAGGACAGACCAGCCGACCAAAAGGGGACTCACATCATAGGTGACTTCCTCCACCTGGTCCTTCTCCATAAGAAACACTTTGGAGACCTGCTCACATGGGCCCTGGAGGATTCGAGCTACCAGCGGGTAATCGGTGTTCTTGAGCTTCTGTTTCTCTGTAACACACACACAGCCAGGAGCAGCCCTGAGTTCGGCCCGAGGCCCTTCTCACCATAAGTAGTGGCCAACTCAGGGGCCCAAATGGCCCAGGCACCTTAGGAGATGCGGCCACGTAAGTCAGGAGACTGAATAGTGAATGAACAATTCTTGTTCAAAGCAACCATTCCCTCCCCCCTCTCCCTAACAAAACTACCATGCTCAAATCCTTTGGAAGATACTCTACTGGAGGAATTGGTCTTATCTACCTCTTAAGAACATCCAGTTCCTCTTTAAATAAGCAGTTACGTTTTAGTGTTTGTTTCCTGACCACATACGGCATTCCCCAGTGGACTCAGCCAGTGAGCCCACTGGCCTTGGAGGCAAACAACATTTGGAGGTTTCCAAAAGCCAAACGACAAGCAAATGAGGCAGAGGTTTGGTTTGTTTGTTTGTTTGCTTTTTCCTGTTTTGAGTGAAGTAAAAATGTTCAAGTACACTGTATTTTTCAGACTTACCACCGCTGGTATGGACCACATACAAAGCAAACTCTTCTGCGGAATTCTCGATCTGAAGCAGAAACAAAAGATACTTGGAGGAAGCACATATTCACACATCCCAAGCCCGAGCCATTCCTTCTTGAATGCCACAAAGCTCAATCAATTTTAGGCAACTTTTGAGGGGGGGAGCTATTTATCTACAGCTCTCAGAGGGGATGAGGAGAGGGGGCAGGCCGGAAACTTCACCAGTCACAGCAGATAATCAGGGCTGATGCTTTCTGCACCCTGCCAAGCACAGCGCTCCACACTTTGCATGCGTTCACTCATCTAAGGCGCCCGACAACCCCTCAATGGGGTCCCGTTAACCCTCATTTTACAGACGAGGGAGCAGAAACACAGGGAGCTTTAGTAAGTTGCTCAGCTCATCCATGCAGCAGGTGATGGCTGGGGATTCGAACCCAGAGCCTGTGCCCTTAGGCCACTGGGCGACACTGGCCTCAATAAAAATAAGAATCTCTGACACCAAAAGATAAGGGGATGATTCCTATAAAGGGATTGTGGAAAACAGAGTAACAGGACTTTAAAAAAACTCAGGCACTATAATTTACACATCTACTGAAGTTCCTTTTTAAAAAAAATTTTGGGGGGCGCCTGGGTGGCTTGGTTGGTTGAGCATCCGACTTCAGCTCAGGTCATGATCTCACGGTCCGTGAGTTCGAGCCCCACGTTGGGCTCTATGCTGACAGCCAGAGCCTGGAGCCTGTTTCGGATTCTGTGTCTCCCTCTCTCTCTGCCCCTCCCCTGTTCATGCTCTGTCTCTCTCTGTCTCAAAAATAAATAAAAACGTTAAAAAAAATAAAATAATTTTTTTAATGTTTATTTTTGAGAGAGAGAGTGAGCATGAGAAGGGGAGGGGCAGAAAGAGGGGACAGAGGATCTAAAGGGGGCTCTGTGCTGACAGCAGAGAGCCTGATGCGGGGCTCGAACTCACAAACTGTGAGACCGTGATCTGAGCTCAAGTCAGACGCTCAACTGACCGAGCCACCCAGGCGCCCCCTGAAGTTCCTTTTTCAGAGTCGGTTCCCCAAATGTGTTTCAGAAGTCAGTCTGTACACAGAGCCCCAAACCAGGCATCAGGCCTGAGGTCTCAGAATCCCCCGCAAGTTGCCCAACAGGCTCCCGGCCTCACCTCCGGGCTTTGGACTCAGCGGGTCTAATTCAGGGCCAGGGCCTGAGAAGCTCTGCTTTGCTGACAAGCTCCCACGTGATGCTGATGCCGCAGGGTCTGAAGAACCAAACCGTCTGCCCGGTGCCCCCTTACCACACACTCTCCATGGCCCCCCTTTCCACCCCGGGCACATGCACCAGCCATCCCAGGCCAGCCAGCAGAAGGAACTTGCCTTAAATTTGTTAAGCAGCAGCTTCAGGACCTGTGGGGTGGTCATGGTGCTGTTGATGCGGACGTTGGTGACAGAACCATAGGCCGGCGTGAACACTGACGTCTGTCAATAGAGAGGTCTGGTTCAGGCTGGCAGTGGGGACAAGGACCGGGGCACTAAAACTTGGGTGTCCAGGCCCCGCGACCTGGGGTACAGGGCCCAGTGACAATGGCACTTACCCTGTGCACCCTGAGAGCCCCCTGATGGCCTGGCAAGCAGTGGGCCTTAATGTCAATAAGGCCGCCCTGGGCTTTGCCTAACTCAGGAGCTCATCGCCCACCCACCGCCCCAGAGGGAGTCTGGGGGTTCTGAGCTGGGCACGTGGCAGGGCGGGGGAGGGGGAGTAGACCCAGATAAGGAAGACCTCCTCTCCAGATAAAACACGCACGAGGCCCCCTCCACTGTGACTTCCACACAAGGTCTCTGACCGCTCTCCCATGATGCACTTGCTTCCGGGGCTCGGTTCGGACCAGGCAGCAGGAGGAAAGAGGGTCAGCTAGCTTTGGGAGAGGCAGGCGGTGCAGGGACGCCCCTGCCTTGAGTCCTGCAGCTCTGTGTCAGGGGCAGCACTTAGCTCACAGAAACGGGAGACCCCACAGCAGCTAAGAGGCACGCGGTGTAGGAAGTGGGTAACGTGTGGATTTTCCGGGGAGTGGGGAATGGCTCTGATGTTTGTGGGGTCATCTCACCCACCACCCTGAGGGGACTCCTGATCTGGGGTCCCTCACCCCTCACAGGGCCGGCAGAGCCTGAAGCCCACCCACGACCCAAAGATGGAACAGCAAACACTTGGCTTCCCACACGTCTGCGGCCTCGAGGGGGCGGCTGCCCGGGGAGAGACCTTATTCCCTT